AACACCATATTGATACATGTTAAAATCCAATCTAAGCTTTCGGTTTACACAAGCCATTATCAAAGATGACAAATTCAATAAATCAAACAACACACGGATGAAACAACAACAATGATAGTCCACCCTTGCTGCATGAAAACTTGTATATACGAGATGCTTAGATTGGATTTAAACATGTATCAATATGGTGTTTTCCTTTCGTCTTTCAACGATAATGTGATTAAGCTTACAAGACAATATGAAAGGAACTTACTTAAAATAAATAGACAAAACTTGTCTATATTATTTAATGAAACATGCATTAATGAAAAATTGCTGCCTATATATATATATATATATATATATATATATATATATATATATATATATATATAAATTTCTTTTTTCTAGTAGATGTATACACTACACTTAATATAGTGTAATTGCTTGTAAGCATATTTCACAGATAAATTTGTAAGTATTTTTGGTCCTCATCATGTGCCTCTTGTAAACTTGTTAAATATATGAATGAAAATCATTATCCTTGCATCATATTAATCTAAAGTTGGAATTAATTTCAATAATTTTCTGATTATTGATCTTTATTTTCTTCCATTTAGAATTTTTGAAGATGAAGTTTACGCAAATCCTGTAAATTTAATTGTGATTATTTTTTAAGAGAACTACATCAAAAGAAACTTTCCCTCTCTTCATAATGAAATCACTTATAATCTATACTTCACTTTTTAATTATTTAATGAATAAATTTACTTGCATTGTGAATCCTGTCTTTTTTTTTCAAGCCTTTGTTTGAGAAAAAGAGAAAGTAAAACTGATGTCCAACATTGAAAGGTCATGAAAAAAAAAAAAACACTTTTTTCTTACTTTCATAGCAACCACCAGGCAATAAAAGATTGAGGTGTTTGCAATGTCTACTTTATGGCATGAGAAATATTGTTGGAAATTTATTGTTGAAACTAAACACAGCCCTTATGACAGCAAATGTTTAGAATAGGAAGAAATGGAAGGTTGTGATTACAGTTGACTTTTGCTCCAACCTCAGCAGGAAACTATTTCTGCCAAACAGATTTTCTCTTCAATTTCCATTCTTCTCTGGCATTCGTGACTGAATAGATTTGAGAATCTCATTTCCTGTAATGAAACTTTTGAAATATTACTTTTCTTTTCCCTGGTTGTTTTGGGCAGTGTCAAAGAGATTTTTTTTCAGTTTGAAACTGGAGCAGAAAGAAGAAAATTTAAGCAGTCATAACTATTTCCAGTTTTTACAAGTTTTAAAATAAATTATTTTATACATGATCTGATTTTTAACTTGGTACAAAAATATTTTTTAAATAAATACAAAATACTAAAAATGTTTAAAATATCAAGAAGGATCTTTTTTTTTCTGTTCAAAAAAAAGTGTCATTTTATCTTCTAAATTTTGTTTGAGCAAAAAAATTAAATTGCTTCATCAGGTTTTTTTATAACCACAGTATTTTGGTTGGTTCATTCTTGAGATTTTTCCCAAATCACTTCTCTTCAGATCCCCCACCCCCCAAAAAAATCTATCAGTTCATTTCAGCAATTCTAAGTGGTTTTGCTTTTCTTGGAGTATTTTATAAGAATTCAAAAGCACTAACATGTTCTGAAGACATCTCACCAAAATAAACATCTCTTCACTGAAAGAAAATATATCCAAGAACTTTATACACAACATTTCATTCTGTTGTAGTAGGGGTTAGTTGGCACCAAAAAATAAAACTCAAAGAACATTGAATCACTGTAACATGTTTAAATACTTTAACATTTGGTATGTCTGGCCATGTTTGCATGTGGAAGAGGCGACACCAACTTTGTATAGGATGGAATCAAAATAATAGGGAGAAAGAATGGCAAATAAGGTGAGTGAGAGATTCTGACCATTTTCTATGTTTATATAACTCACTCAGTAGACCAAGCATTGACATTAGTATCTTGTGAGATCCATTCATCAGGTGTGAACAGGTGATGAACTGAGGATTCTACAGGAATTGCCTGAAAGACTTGAGTACATGCAAAGTTCAACAGGAGGTGATGCGTTTAACAAAGGATTTTGGAGATGACAGCTCCAAGGACACAGAAAATAAAATAAAATAAAATCTGGATGTGATATGTTTGATAGGGGATACACATGCTTGTTACTGGAACAAGATTTGCCAACATTCCAGACCACAACAAATATACCTGAGAAAGGCTTGTGAGTCTAGAGTTGAAATGTTATTGACTTTCTTCTGGGGAAGAAGTAGAATATTTGACTTTTTTTTTTATGAAAAAAATTACACAGAATATATTTTGATGGAACATGATCTTGCAATTTGAAATCTTCATTTTGTTCTGCCTAAGCAGGATATAGAATGGCGGGGATCTCTTTATTTGTGTATGTATGATACTTGTTTCTTTACTTTTTCTGAAATAAATTCTGGCCATTTGGAACTTAAGTTGAAGTGAATATTACTTTCATCTTCAAAAGACATTTCAAATATGATCTGTAATGTCAGATACAATCAAATAGTAATATTTCCTTTTATTATGTATAACTTTCTTTTCACAATTACTGGAAATGTAATTGTTTTGTGAAACAGTTCTTCTAGTTTGATACAGATAAACACTGTACTTTCAGTTAGCATCTTGATTATATCATTATTTTCTCTTCAAGTTACATGTGCTATCCATTTTAGTTGTTGCGGCTGTTGGTAATCCTCAAGCGATATGGTTTCTGTTATTTGGTACAGTTCTTTGTGTTTCTGTAGCACCAGACCACAAGGTTCAAAGAAGGATGATCTTTTCCAAGACCTTCAAGCTTTACTTGCTCATTGATCTGAGAAAGTGATTGTATACAGCTCACAGTTCAGTTATTTCTGAATGGATTTGGTACCATGTATGCCATCCATATAAAGGTCTTGATCTAATGAGGTTATTTAAGAATATGACTCAAGTTTTCAGGTTGATGTTTTGGTTTCATAGCAATTTGTGGTGTTGGCCAAAGCTACCTCTACCACAGCCTATTCTATATTCAGTTTCTTTTTCTCCTGTATTTAATTTGTTATAGCTGATTCATATGCCGAGGTATCTGAAGTGTTTACTATTTAGTAATTCTGCATCCTGTATTTTTATGAGGGATGAGGGGAGGTGACAACACTGCTTTCATCCAAATTCCAGGTCATAGAAAGGTTTATCTTGGATCCCATTTCTTGGAACACTTAATAGAGGATGCTGATTTTTTTTTTGTTCAAGGTCATTCTTATCCCAACTAATAACACATGTCATCAGTATAGTTGCCCCCTCATCATCATCATCATCATCATCAGTACATTAGCCTCAGGAAGGAAAGCAGGATCATTGATTTCTATTGGTAGACTCATTTTGAATGCAGTATGGAAGGTATAAATGGTCAGTACACATATAATCCCATCTATGTTTGTAAATGCGCAGGGTATAATCTAGGAATAGATTGGGGCTCTCATTTCTCCTTTGTCGTACTCCTGATTGATGTGTAAAATTTTTCTGCATTGGGGTCCTAGTCAGACATGTAAGATTTTGTAGATCGATATTGTTTTTCTATTAGATTGATGCATTCAGTGGATTTAAAGCTTGAAAAGTGGATTCTAATGGAGGAGAAGAGCAAGTCTTTATTGATGTGGTCATATGCTGCTGTGAGGTGGAAAATCAGGTATACAGTTTCATATTAGAAAGATAAGCAATTATTTCTAAGAAAAACAAATATTATAAGCTGAAATTTGCATATAATTATTTATCATATAAAACTTTACCAGATCTAGTTAGTTAATACCAGTTTTATTGTGAAAATATTGACTGACACAATGTTCAGTTTTCTTATGCACATGTGTCATTTTAGGATTTTGCAGTACTAATTGCAATGTCATGTCTTTATTTAGAAGTGGCATATAATGTGGAGAAATATGTATATGAATATATTATTTTTTTCTACTCTAGTACAAAAGTTGTAATAAGAAGAGAGCAGTGGGGAAATGGGGAGAGCCATGACTTAACATTTTCATTTTAAACTATGTTCCTATAATATACACAAGTTGTCACAGGTAGACATTGTGATGTTGAAACTTTACTGCTCTGATTTGTTGCAAACAAAGAAAATTGACTGAAAGAAAAAAGTCTTTTTTAGGACATGATTATGCTTCTTCATCATAAAAGTAGACTTGGGAGTTGGGGAAATGAAAACTCATGATTACCAAAATCCATAGAGAATATGATGTTTTTATTAGCAATGCACTGGAAATGTGTCAAATTTACAAAGCTGATAGCAACCTGAATTGGCATTAATTGTTTCTAGTCTCCATAAATATCGTCATGTGAAAACCAAAATGATTTGACCTTTTGTGCTTTATTAAAATAATCCAATAAATGCCAGTGCTTAATGAAGAAGACATAAATACTGAAAAATGGTAAAGAACTTGTAATCTCTTGGTTATGGTTGTCTATAACTTTGAGAAGAATCATTAACATTTCACTCAACTGAACACATACTTTGTCTTTTAAATGTCTGAAATATCAATACAAGCTCTGGTAAAAACATGTAATGATAACAGCAAAAATTGCAATATGAACACTATGTAACCCAGTACTAACTGCTGCATGTCCAGGTTATTGCTGACTAACCTGACTTCTCTTACCAAACTTTCCTGGTGAGGAGGGTGGCTAGACATCAAACTGAATTAAAAACAAGACCGTCAGAGAGGTGAATGAATCCTTTTAAGGGATCAACAACACAGACAACATGATGTTACAAATATCTGCAAGAACAATTTATAAGAAAAAACTGCATGATCAAAATATATTTCAGGTGCTGAATTTTTATTGTCAACTTGATCTCAATACCTTTTTTTATAATACTAAAACTCTGAACTTTGCTTGCTTGCTTGCCACTGTGCACTCAAAATCATATATAGAGATAGGGGAAAGAAAGATGGAAATTTATTATCGTGTAGGAAGTGGGAGAAAAGGAAATGGTGTGTATACATGAACTGACAGTGAGACCAAAAGAAAAAAAACACTCTCTCTTTCCACCTCTCTCTTTCTTCACACCTCTCTCGCCACCTCTCTCTTGCCCTCTTCGCCTCTCTCTATCCACCTCTTTTCACCTCTCTCTCTCACCCTCTTTTCACCTCTCTCTCTCACCCTCTTTTCCACCCTCTTCCACCTCTCTTTCCTCTCTCTTTCCACCCCTCTCATTCCACCTCTCTCTCTCGCCATCTTTGCGCCTCTCATTCCACCTCTCTCTCTCGCCATCTTTGCGCCTCTCTTTCCACCTCTTTCTCACCATCTTTCTCTCTTTCCACCTCTTTTCTTTCCTCTCTCTCTCTATCTCTCTCCATCTCTTTCCATCTTCTCTCTCTTTCCACCTCTCTCTCTTTCCACCTCTTCACACCTCTCTTTCCTCTCTCCCTCTCTCTCGCCCTTTTTCGCTTCTCTCTCTTTCCACCTCTCTCTCTATCTCTCGTCCTCTTCGCGCCTCTCTTTCCACCTCTCTCTTGCCCTCTTTGCACCTCTTTTTCCACCTCTCCCGCTCTCTTTCCACCTCTCTCTCGCCCTCTTCGCGCCTCTTTCCACCTCTTTGCATCTCTCTTTCCACCTCCCCATGATTGAATGTGTGCTTATTTATATTTCAGCTTTCTTTAAACAAAATATTTTAAATATTCAAAAAATATTTTTTGCCATATTTAAAAATATTTTCAAATGAATATGATTTAAAAATACGATTTGTTTATAAAGTAAGTATTTTTATTTCAACTTTCTTCAAACAGACAATTTTTTTAATGTTGAAAGCAACTTCAATGTTTTATAATCTGAACCTTCAGTGACTCAACGGGTCACAAGTAGTATAATATTAAAAGTCTGTGTACATCGGGTGCATAATGATTTAAGTTTCTTACCACCTCTCACTCTTGCCACCTTCCTGCGATTATGCGTGTGTACTTATTTAGATTTCAGTTTTCTTTAAAAAAAAAAAAAAAAACAATATTTTAAATATTAAAAAAATATTTTTAAGTGAATATGATTTAAAAATATCTTTTGGCATATCAAAAAATATTTTTAAGTTAGTCTGATTTTAAAATATTTTAAGTGAAAGATTTAAAAATGTGAGTTGTTCAGTAAATGCAGTGAGTAATTTTATTTTAACTTTCTTTGAGCACACAACTTTTTTAATGTTGAAATCAACTTCAATGTTTTACTAACTGAAGTGTAATTGACCCAATGGGCCATGGGTAGTATTTGGTTAAACTTGGATTTTCATCATATTTATTTATGATGAAAATCCAAGTTTAACCAAATACTACCCATGGCCCATTGGGTCAATTACAAATAAATATACAAAGAAATATACTGAGGTTTCAAAATTGGATATAAATTTAGCATTTCTGCATTGTGATTTAAAACCAACAAAATTTTGGGGAATCATGAGGTACTGCTGGTGGGTACTGGGGTTAGAGGTCATCAAAATTGGGCTCTCAAACCATGGCTTATCATTTGATAAAGGCTTTATTGATGGCACTGCTACTGTTTTTGCAGCAAGTTTTCAATAAATTTGTATATTATTGTAATTTTTTTTAATCATTTCACCCTAAGCAAGTTGATAATGTCACAGGGGGTGAATGAGAAAACTAGTGAGGAGGAATAATGAAAGAACAATTTAAGGAACAGGATTCAGGAAGACAGAAAATTGTGATTGACATAGCATTTAAATGCTATGAAGATTGCAGGTGGAGTATATTGAACTATATATATATATATATATATATATATATATATATATATATATATATATAGCATACATATTATTGTAATATAAATAATATATAAATCCATGCATTGAGGATAAGTTTATGTGCTCACACTGTGATATGTTGTAGATGTTTGTCACTCCAGTCCCCCCGTCATTCAGTTGGTGTAGTTACTTTTCTACCAATGCATATATCATTTTGGTGCCCAACCTATGTTGAGACTGATTGGAAAGGATGTTTTGCCTACTCAATTAATTCTTAATATATAAATTTGGATGTCAGTGTGATGCTATGTAGGCAGAGTGGGTTAAAGCTTGGAAGTATGGTGCAACCAACACATACCAGCCAATATTTGCAAGGGAAAAGTAGACAATTTAACTTGGTACATTAATCTCTTGAAAGTTTTGGAAAAAGTTTATATTAAGTCCTACCAGCCATCTTTCTGTAAGCAGAAGGAGTGGTTGGTGGGTTTAAAGGTGATAGGCTTTTTTTGTTTGTTTTTTTTTTGCATATAACATTTCTCTGGAAATTTTTATAACTTTTAGTTGCTGTGCATTTTCTGTCTTCAACTTTTGCTCTGATGAAAGAAGACTGATAAACCAGTTTAGCTTTTAATTGTTATAAATTGTTTTTTTTTGTTATGAAATGATTATAAATATAACTGCTTCTATACTTTTATAATATAAATTTGTATTTCTTTTACATTAATATTTGCTGTTAGTCAGGACACAGAATTGCAGGTGTATAAAACATTTTATATGAACCAGAAGACAAAGTGATGCATTTAGAAAAAGATTGGTAAAAACAATGTTCTTATTAAAATATTGAACTATTTTTCTGAATACAAAAATAAATTTCAGAATATTAATTCAATTTAATATGAAACAAGTCAACTAAGATGTAATATCCTGAAATTTTTTAAATTATATGAAAGCCCCCAAAGAAATCTTGTGAAGATAACTGTATTTTCACATGAAATGCATAAAGTTAAAAAATTGAAATAAAACAAAAGAATAGTAAAAGCCAATATGTTCCAATGATGTTTTCTTGTACTCTTTCTTTACTGATTTCCTTCTTTTTTTTCTCTACCCAACTTGTTTGCTTACATTTCAACAACTTCAAAAAGTCTGCCAAGAAATGTCCTTTTTGTACGTTCATTATTGATGTCAGCAAAGAGTGCATAAGATAATGCAGTTAGTAAAACAAAATTTATCATCAAATTGCAAATATGTTAAAAACAAATTGATTTCCCATTGATAGGAGGGGAGGTATTCATATGTAAATTAACTGTTTCTATGACAATAAAATGAAAAACTTCCTGCAAAATTACATCAATTTAAATTTTTATGAGTCGCTAGTATTATTTTTTATATTGTGTAGTTTTTCATTTTGTTTAATTTTTGTAAAAATTTTTCAAATGCCACTTTATTTCCAAAAGCAATACCATTGATATGAAAAAAATGTGTCTTTTTAATGGTGAAAATTATCAGCTAAAATGCTTAAAATTCAAGTTAGTGAACCCATGGCAACAATCTATCCCTGATATTGAGCACTTTAACCATAACAAATGATATAAAGCATATTAATAACTTGATTAAAAGTATGTTTCCAAATCATTGACCAACTAAGTACATATTTTCTTTGACCACATATATATATATATATATATATATATATATATATATATATATATATATATATATATATAAAATGATGCATTTAGAAAAGGACAGAAGAAGCATTTATTCTTTTTCTTTGGCATCATGCTGGGAACTATATTTCCAGATGCTGTTTGAGAGAAATATTTTGAAACAGAACCTTCATCTCTTTTTAACTTCTTTTTCGACTGTCATTCAATAGAGTCTGAATAAAGTGAGTTTCATGCAGCAATGAATTCTTTTATCCATTCAATAGACAGGCTCTAACCTTGTTGTACCTTTTTGATTATATTTGCATTTAACTTTTGATGTTTTGCTCTTTACATATGTTAGTGTGGTGAGTTCACCATTCCTGTTGATGATAAAAATGACTCTTCTGGAAAAAAATCAAAATGTGTTAGTGAAACTAAGAACTTACATGTGACAACCAAAAAATCTACTCATGATTAGGGGAGGCTGTCAGTTTTAGCAAAAGTATATTTTGTCCAACTCAGGTTGGATTTTTTAATCAATTCAAAGATGAATGATTTAATTAGGAGTAAGCAAAATTGACAAAGAGGGAATATGGATGAAACACACAAGTATGATTCCATCTTGTATTGAGGACAGATGTGACAAAGTAGAAAAGTGACTTACTCTTAAATGCAGTTAAGTGGAAATTGACAGATGAAAGAAAGAAAATAAATGCGGCTTTTCTAGTTCTTCATATGAAAACAAAACCATTCATATCTAAAGAAGGACTTTCATTAATGGTAACTATCAATCCATTTTCAATATCTTTGGTCCAGAATTGCTTTCAACAGATTCCAGATCAAATTTTAATCATCACCATTAAGGTTTTATCTGAATATCAGTTTAAAATCATTTGAATCTTGAAAATATTTGCTCTGAATATGGCAGTCATACAGTCGATGGAATCCTGTTGTGGAGTGTCTATTTATATATAATTATATCCCACTAAATCTGCAAGTTACATTTATAAACAGCAATTCTTAAGATATTCAAAATGGATTGATACTTTGCAGATGTTTTTTTTATTCTTTTTTTTCCCATCCTCCAATCTTTAAACCATACAATTTTGAGGGTGTTTCTATAAATGTTTAGCTATAAAGAAATAAAATGGTATATAAATCTGATTCTTTGGCTCTTATGTAATATACAAACATTTTTTACATTTATAAGAAATATTTTTTAGGCAATCTACTTTGATGATTGTGTCACCTTCCAAAATTGGACATTCTGTCATGATTTTTATAACTCAGCCTTCTGCTATTCTATAGCAGACACTCAAGTCTTATGTAAATTTTGCACATTACAGTGATCAGTGTTGCATCACACAAAGAACTCAACAAGTGTACTTTGCTTAAAAAAGTAAGACAGATAATTTTTCTTTTCTAATCATTTTCCCCCTTGCAAGGCGATAATGCTTAAGATGCAAGGTTGGTGAAAAGAGAATGAGAAGACTTTATTGAAAAGAAAGGGCAATAAAAGAAAAAGATTCAGGAAAACAAGATGGCGACTAATGTTGCATTTAAAATTTTGAAGATTGTTGATGGCAGGAAAGGTTAAAATTTTTTGAATTTTGTCAAGAATCTTATTTTCAGACCAAACATAAGCAATATTCTTTGGTAGATTTATAAATAAGATGGATTCAATGGTGGTATATGGTCCAATATAATCACTTCACATCATGTCAGTGGAAAACATAAGATGAAGAAGGGACAATGATTTGCTCTCTTGGAGGTTAGCATGCCATGCTGATGAAGACAAAATTTTCTCTATGATTATTAAAATTTTGAAAAATTGTTGGGCATTAAAATTTACAACCATTTCATCTCTGTTAACAATTGATTGAGGTCATTTTTGCAACTAGTTGCCATTTACCTCAGACTTTACTATTCAGACTAAACAGGAACAATCATTTGAAGAATAAGAAACAATCTAGGAAAAGTCGGCCCTGAATTAAAAGGATCAAAAAGCATGACTATTCAACACAATCTTCATTATATGATTTGTTAAAGAGCCAATTGAGGAGCACATTTCATTGGAACAATTCCAGGGATAACTGTCTAGATTGCATACCTTGTAGGGATCTAGTTTGGAGTTGGAAAAGAAGCATCTCTCATTTTGAAGCAACATTTCTCTCTTATTTTAAAATGACAAATCTTATGCAAATCATTTGGACGAGTATCTACAACCTTT